TTATATTGCTTACAAACTGTATGGCCGTGGCAGGCTTCTTGCTAACTGTTCTTATAGCTTAAATTAATCCATTTCCATAAATCTATACCTTGCCATGTGGCTCGTGGCTTACCGGTATCTTCACATGCTGATTGTTCTGGCAGCGGCTGGCAGTGTCTCTTCCTGCCTTCCTGTTCTTTCTTTTCTCCTCTCTGTTAGTCCTGCCTATACTTCTGCCTAGCCACTGGCCAATCAGTATTTTATTTATTGACCAATCAGAGCAACATATTTGCCATAGAAAACATCACACAGCAGACCTACATGCAGGCAAAACACCAATGCACATAAAATAAAAATAAATAAATTATTAAAAAAAAAAAAAAAAGAGCCGGCTGGTGGTGGCTCACACCTTTAATCCCAGCACTTGGGAGGCAGAGCCAGGTGGATCTCTGTGAGTTCGAGGCCAGCCTGGGCTAGAGAGTGAGTTCCAGAACAGGCTCCAAAGCTACACAGAGAAACCCTGTCTCAAAAAAAAAAAAAAGAAAAAGAAAAGAAAGAAAAAAAATGAAAGTGTGGTTCCATAAATTATAATAACAAAAAAATGTGAAATGCCTAGCAATCAGTCATCTAAAAAGAAAATATACAGAATTAATAGTAAGAAGACTATATCTGAATTCAAAGCACAATAATAAATTTACTATTCACTGTGTCTAATGAGATTTATCCTTAGGATGTAAGGGAAATATAACAAAGTCATATCAATAATTGTTACCCACCACAGTAGCAGAATGAAATTAAAAATTTGAGTATTAATTAATTTAAATATAAACAATTATTGAACAGCCTAACTCTTTAGATGAAGCATTTATGTCTAAATCTAGCCCTCCACAGTATATGCAACAAGTTCTCTCCATTTCTTCTCTCTTCTCTCCCTCTTCTCCTCTCCCCTCCCTTTCAGAGGAGTGGCATTATGTCAAGTACATAGATGAGTCTGGAGAAAATGAATAGGACCATGAAAAATTTACATATGATTGTGGCAGGGTTTGCAGTCTTTCTGTTCTCTTCCTGTTCCTCATGTCTCCCAGTAGATATGGATTGCAAATGCCCTCAAGGAAATCATGAGCTACTTTCTGGACAGACCTGGACTAAGGGTCACTATATGTTTTTGGGGTGTGTGTGTGTGTGTTGTTGTTGTTGTTGTTTTGCTATCTCTCATATAAATCGCACTAAAAGCTATATCTTAAAAGAGCAGTAATTCATTATTTCTCATAATTTCACAGGTTAACTAGCTGGGTATTCTGCTAATAGTGTTTTGGGTGGGTTACTGCTAAAAACTAGGAAGTCTAAAATTACTTCATGGTTTTTGAATGGCAGTTGGTGCTGGCTACTTGGTTAAGAATGAAGCTAAGACTGAGGACCGAGTATCTTGCTTGGTTTTCCTTCATTTTTATCTGCTCATCAGCAGTTGGAGTTTCCTAAGATTTTATGGTAACAAAGACTATTAGGGTCAAGCCCCTCTATAGTCTTTTCCCAGAGTTCCAGAAGAGATGCTACCAGCAGCAGATTAATTAATCTCAGGGATACTCCAATAAATCTACATACATGAAACTCTTTAGTCTTTCCACTTTATTCTTCTGAGTCAGTTTTCTGTCTACACAGCTTCTTTTCTGCTCTCATACTTAGCTCCTTTCTTGCCTGATTCTCGCTACATTTTTCTGCTTAGTTCTTTTCCATCCAGTTTTTCCAAATCTAGTTCTTTCCATCATAATTCCCCAATCTAGTTCTCCCTAAGTCTCTGAGGTTTACAGTTGTATACCCATACAATTAGCTATGTTCTGGCTAAGGCAAGGTCACCAGGCTTGAATTCTTTCAGGGTCAAAAAGGAGGTGAGAAGATCCACACAAAGAGCAGTAATTGTCAGTTATCATTTACAGCCCAAAGGGAAGTGACTAATAAAGAATAGAATCAACTGAGGGCTAGATTTAGTTAATAGATCTGAGAAAAGGGAATTTTGTGCTCAAATTATATTCTTAGAAGTGGTTAGTTAAAATGTTAAGAGTCTGAGTCACTAAGTCATGAGTGAAATCAAACTGCCCTTAATCTCGGCTGTGCCGTTTCCTGGCGGGGCAGGGTTAGCTAGGCAGCCTGTGTCACAGCTTGATGTACCTGGTGTATAAAAGTCTTTGTTCTGAGTAGACTGTTAAAGGGGGAGTGTAGACATACCACTTGGGCTGTGGGAGAAAGGAGGGTTTAAGCTTAAGTTGCACAAGAAACAAGGTATCTAATATCCACCTGGACTTGACTATTTACTTTAATTCGGGAGACTAGCAGATGATATGGATGCTTATCTGCAGTCTGTCCTTGGATGTGTGAGAGATATCTCAGATAAAATACTTTTGTCTGGAGATGGCCCTAGCTGGATACTTGCTAATGACAACAATTACAGAAAGGCAGACTTCTGAGTCTAATGATAAGAAACAAAGGAACAAAAGCCTAAAAAAATGGGATCTTGACTATGTGACTGGTTGTCAACACAGTTGGGGGAAGTTATCCAAATACCCCAAATATAGGGGAAATTGTGCCCAAAGAATGATCAACTACACTGTTAGAAGTTCTTAGAAAAAGAATTAATTGGGAACGCTACCATAGCACACCAGGAAATCATTGCAGGAACCGGCTAATATATTTAAAAACTAATATCACGTTCGGTCCTCAGCTCTGGGGGGGAAAAAGAAGCTAATATCACCAAAATTCCTTGGTGTCTTGGCTTTATCCTCTGGAAGAGTTTTTAACTCTTCCAGAAAATAGCTTTTGCCATAGTCAGCTAAATTCCTACTACATATTTCTGTGGCCCGCAGCAGTATCTGCTAAGTTATAAGAAATGAACTGTAAGGCAAAGCCAAGTACTACACGGTATCATAAAACCCAGGCTCAACCATCTAATACAATTTGCTTTATTTAAGGTAGTAGTAGGGCTTACCTGAATCCTAGAGGAAGGGAAATAGACTCAGTGCCCCTTGGTGTTAGATTTAGTGATACTGTAAGAGTAAGGAGGGTAGAAACTGTGAGTCATCTTCAGAAATAGACTCTCACAATCTCTTTTGACCTGTAGTGAGGATATTTGCCTAGCCCCCTATTACTAGAAATTATAATGCAAGGATTCAAACTCAGGTTAATCTGATTCAAAGACACTCATTACGGGGATGCTTCTTCTAGAGAGAAGAGAGAATAAAGTGAAAGGAGTAAGAGAACATATTTGATGTGTCTCAGATGGGAGCAAGTGGTCAGTGGGGGTTAATTCATACAGAGGCTTGGTTATAAAGCCACAGACTTTAGTTTTGGACAAAGAGAATTTCTGAAAGTTTTGAAAGACTTGTGTTATGTTACCAGCCTGGACTTTGAAAATCAGTCTGATTAAAACCCAGAATGATTTGGGGCCTGGATGATTGACTGCTCTTCCAGAAGTCCTGAGTTCCATTCCCAGCAACCACTTGGCTCACAACCATGTGTAATGAGATCTGGTGCCCTCTTCTGGTGTGCAGGCAGAACACTGTATACATAATAAATCTTAAACACACACACACATACACACACACACACACACACACACACACACACACACACACACACGCTTGCGCGCGCGTGCAGAGTGATTCGGGCAGTGGATACTACTAATCTAAATTTGATTGGATAGATGACATTCCTTTGCAGTATTCCAAAAGAAGTTTAAATGAGTTCAGATGAGGCCTGAATCAAAGAAATGACAATGAGAATGAAGAAGTGAAATGTTTTTAAAAGTTAAGGTATTTAAATTATGTAGAGCTGATAACCAATTAGCTATGTGGATCAAGACAAGAAAGATGGAGCTGTGGGAGGGTTGCTTAGCAGTTAAAAGAGCTTTCTGCTCTTACATAGGACCTAGGCTCAATTCCCAGCACCCACATGGCAGCTCACAACCACTGATATCCAATGTACTCTTCTGGCCACCTTAAATAATTGCATGCATGTGGGGCATAGATGTGTATGCAGGCAAGACATTCATTCACATAAAATAAATCTTTAATAATCAGCCTTTAAGCCAGGTGTGGTGGTGCATGCCTTTAATCCCAGAGATAAAGGCAGATGGATCTCTGAGTTTGAGGCCAGCCTGGTCTATAGAGCAAGTTCCAGGACAGCCAGGGTTTCATAGAGAAACCCTGTCTTGAAAAAAATCAACCCCCCCAAAAAAAAATCAGAAGAAAACTCAGCATTCAAAAATAGTAAATGCTAAATGCACCCCTCCTGTTTTTGAAAGTCATGGTAATACTACTATAGCAGTCATATTTACACTCCTCCATTCCGTGTAAATCTTTCCTAAAGTTACTAAAGTGAGGCTATGTTTTCTTAACCACTGTCGTGTTTAACAGGGTTTCATTAACAAATCATGTAGAATTATCTTGACATTTTGGATTTTTCATTCTGAATTTTTAAGCTACTTCTCTTTTTCCTCTGTAGGTTAATGGTACTGATGCAGATTATGAATATGAGGAAATCACACTTGAAAGGGTAAAAACTATTATCTTAATCTGTTGTTTGAACTTTTAAATATATTGTTCAATCATAGAATACAAGGGGGAAATGTCCTTCAAAACCAGAAAAATGTTTTTAAGATCACAGGTCATAAAATTAGCCATGGCATTTTCAGAATGTTTATTTTCTTTAATGTCCTTTAAATTTTTGTAGATTTACAGAAAAGGCATAAGGATAGTACAGAGAATTCCCGTTATTTTGCACTCCGCTTCCATTATTGTTAACATCTGCCTTTGTTACAGTGTATTTGTTTCCATAATACGTCATCATATGTACGTACAGTATTACTAACTGAAGTCTACACTCCTTATTCCTTAGTTTTTATGGTTTGTTTGTTGTTTTTGTTTTGTTTTTTTCCAGGAAACTACCCTCCATTTAGTTATCTCCTTTGGGTGCTCGAGACTATGGTAGTTTGTCGGGTTTTTCTTTTTAATTGTCTCTAAGAAAGTAGCACGCTGTTTGGGCAGCGGCAGCCTGTGTCCCCAGCACTTAGGAGGTGGTGGCAGGAGTTCAAGGCCAGCCTTACTGCATAGCAAATTCAAAGCAGCCTGAGCTTTGAGACTTTGTCTCAAATCTACATACCTACCTCCATACACACATTCTTGTTTGTGAGGATGAGAGGATGTGCGGGCATAATCAGTTGATGCTGTGTTTAGAAAGGCTGCCCTTGTCTGGCAGGCACTTTCAGGGAATTTAATGTTCTACACAAGTAACTCTCCAGAGTAACAAAATGTCTGCATTTTAAAAACTGAAATCTTAGATTTACATTGTGTTGTGTTTGAAGCGAGAATGGATGCCCGACAAACAAGTAAAACTGAAAGGGTCTTTGAATATGTAGTAGATCTTCATTGTCCACTACTCAGTTTCATGCCACCTACTTAAATTAGGCAGGTACCTCTGTAACACTCAAGTAAGCTCAGCATTAATCTATAACATATATTTTAATGTGGCATTTTATGACATCTCTTGCTGTTTGATTTATAATCCTCTCCATGCCTTTTGAATTTATCATGTTTAGTTTAGGACTGTATATTTTTCACTGCTTAAAAAACTTGAATACTTAAATTTGTTGGCAGCTTTTCACAATCTTTTAGTAGTGTTGACATACTACTAATTCTTTAAGGAATATAAACTGAAAAAATTTAATTATAAGCCGGGTGGTGGTGGCGCATGCCTTTAATCCCAGCACTTGGGAGGCAGAGGCAGGTGGATCTCTGTGAGTTCGAGGCCAGCCTGGGCTACCAAGTGAGTTCCAGGAAAGGCACAAAGCTACACAGAGAAATCCTGCCTCAAAAAACAAAAACAAACAAACAAAAATTTAATTATATTGGAATTTTAGGACAAGTAGTGGGAAATTAGTTAAGTTCTTAAATATGAATAGTTAAAGCAACAAGTCAGATATATCCATTTATTTGAGTTGCTAGAAAGCTACATGCAGAAAATTCTTGAGAAAATGACATTTTTTTACATAACTTTTCTTAGTTCAAAGAAATATCATTTCTCTTTATAGACTTCTTATGGCAGTAGGACCCCTTTTGTGTGCAAATAGTCCTCAGAAATTCGGTTTTCTTGTTTGTAAGATAAGCAAAAAGGTAAAGTGGTAGTTGGCAAAGTCTACTTGCCATAAGAAAAGCTCACCAATATTAAGTTCTCAGGTTGGGCTTCAGTACTAAAACAATGCCATGGTATTTGGGTACATTGGTTAAACACTCAGAGAGTAATGGTTGCTGTTACTTATCAGCGCCAGTTTGTTGGTTTTTAAATAAACAACTGGCAAAGTGGTCAGAAGAAAAGCAACCACCTCCACCCACCCTTTTTTAAAAGATGAAATGATGTTTGTCCTCAAAAGTAAAGGCAGTAGCCAGGCATCGTGGCATCTGTATTCCCAGCTCAGAAGGCCAAGGCAAGGATTGCATCCTGTTTGATGTTAGTCTAGGCTACATAGGATGACCTTTCTCAAATACATTAATTAATTAACAAGTTAATTAATGAGGCGAAGAGATCACGTGCTTTGTCTCTTGGAAGAGATTTGCCCTATCAAACATGAATGAGAGACGCCTTTTAAAAGAAATTTGTTATGTCACCTCTCTGAGTAGAGAGTAATTCACAAATTACACATACTTGTAAATAAAGAACTTCAAACTAGGCTTTTGAAGAACTTGGTACATTTTCTTTAGCCTCACCTACTGAGCAATAATACCTCTGAAGAAGTTTTTCCTTATATGAAGTGCATGTCTATTTAATTTAGACTCTTTCTCTTTCCTGTTCATATTCCTTTTTGTGTTATAGTTCCTAGTTTAGTACAGTTTCTAGAGCCTAAATGCTTAGATCTCTGGAATTTTTCCCTCTGTCCTTAGGGAAATTCAGGGCTTGGTTTCAGCATTGCAGGAGGTACAGACAACCCACACATTGGAGATGACTCAAGTATTTTCATCACCAAAATTATCACAGGAGGAGCAGCTGCCCAGGATGGAAGATTGCGGTATGTCTTAAACTTAATGTTGTGGTGTTACAAAAGACGTGAACTAACACAAAGAAACAACATAATAAATAAATGTAGGTAGATGCTCAAGCCCATTTAAATGACCAACTCTCGGGTAATTTTTCTCGTATTGTTTTAGACTTTGGGAATTCAGTTTTATCTTAGGTATTATAATACTTGGAGTAATGCATTTTTGGTTTTGTGGGTTTTTTGGGGGGGGCGGTTGTGTGTGTGTTTTGTTTTTTGGGGGGTTTTTTTGTTTTGTTTGTTTTTCGAGACAGGGTTTCTCTGTGTAGCTTTGCGCCTTTCCTGGAACTCACTTGGTAGCCCAGGCTGGCCTTGAACTCACAGAGATCCGCCTG